GGGAGAAGCTTGTTTCTAGAGAAAATCGCGGGAAAGACGTAAAATAAGCATGTATCGAGACGCCAGCGCGGGAAAACGTCCAACGAAACGCAAGTGCGGAGGGGTGTGACCAAACTACTCTGTTCTGTCTTCGCATTTTATTGGCTCGAAATCTTTTTTCTTATAGCCTGAAAACGTTGAACTATAATAGTTAGTTGAACTAATTGTTAAGCTGTACTGCAGTTGCGTTTAGCTAAATTGAACAGGTCATCGGTAATTTTGACTAGCCTTTCTGTTTTTGTCATCTCCAGCCTCGAACCGTTGTTTTTCCAGTACGGTGTGGATTTGATCATTGAAGCGCATGAGCACTCGTATGAGCGCCTTTGGCCAGTCTTCAACGATACAGTGACGGCTCACAACTACACCAATCCCAAGGCTCCAGTCCACCTGATATCCGGCGCGGCTGGCTGTAACGAGTTTTATGGAATATGTGTGAATCCAATGTTGGGACCAAGAGGTAGGCAATTTCGTTATAATGCAGCGGTTACACAAGGGAGTGTTCTTAGCTTACGACAGTTAAAAACACACCTAATTGGGTGGGGGTGTGCTGCCGTAACGCTGGAACCGTACCCTATACTAGACCGCGATCAGTTTGATTTTGTAACCCTATTCTAGACAAGGCACAAAACCCCATACACTATCCCAGACTAGGTTGTATGTCAAACAGCCAAGAATGTCAATAGCAGCTACTGCAACTGAATGCAGAGTTGTTCATTTGGTGTAGCATATTGATAATCATCCAAGCAGCTCAGCAGAAAGATTTAAAATAGCTCTGATTTGCCTGGACACAGTCATGTTAAATTAACTACAGATATGTAAATAATAGTCTCCATTTGGCGCGAAAATATGCTCGGATACTTGTCCGCGGACATTATCTGTTCCTTAAAGCTCACAGTTTTCGAGAGCGTACATCTTGTTTATTATCCTTCAAAAATTTTTCGAAACACGCGCAGTTTTGAAAATTGGGGAATATCACTCGGATATTCCCCAGTTTTAGCTGGAGCATATTCAGTCACGTGATGCGTTTAGACCAATCGCGCACGAGCGAAAATATTTGATGGATTATAAGCCTGTATATGCTTGCTTGGCACAACTCGTCTTTGTGACGCAGTTTTCTTCCACGGTACGGAAAGTGGCATCGATGCTCTGACTGGAGGATAGGATGGGATTTTAGTCTATCAGTTTCTGCTGATAAGTAACTTCAAAGGAGCCCAAAACATGGCAGAAAATTTAAACTGTCCTCGGATTTCGAGCGAAATGCGATCGGCTCAAGCGCACTTGATGTTTAAGTAAGCGCGGGAAAATTCAGCACAGAATAAAGAACTATCTCGACTTCTAATTCCCCCCTTGAAACTCGGTAATACTACAGGCCCATTGCAGTTTGAACAGGTTTTAGTTCCAGTGGGAATGTAAGAATAGTCCTGCATCTTTATTTCGACTAAAACGAAGCCAGACACCCTCGTGCTCTACCCTAGTTCACGGTCTTCACGGAGGTTTCGGAGTAGACAACCCGCAGATAGCATTTGCCAGTTTGCATTGGATGATACCTTGGAGTGAACAAAGACAACACAGCGTAGACAGTCCACAGCGTAAGTATCTTGGCAACTGCACAACGGACCGCAGACAGACAATAGGCTCAACAATCGGGCGTCCTTGAAGAGACGAAGAACAGTGCAGCAGTGTTGAGTCGGATGCAAAAGATTCTGACATCGCTTACCATACCACGTCATACAGTGACCTTTCCATTGACTTCACAAAAGAAAAACTTAATCAAAAAACTGATCTATCAAAGGATGAAAGATCTAGTAATCGCACATGAATCAAAAAAATAAGGATGGCTCAGATAATTTTTAAAACAAACTTGCCTTGTCTATACAAAAACGTGTAATAAAATAATTTGCGGCAACCTTAAGATAAAATTCCCAGATTTTTTCACTGACTTTGAACAGGGATTTAGAAACTCCCTGACGTGATGCAAAACTCCAGGACTTTTCCCTGACTTTGAATAAAATCTAATTTTCCCTGACTTTTCCCTTCCCGTGGCAACCCTGTTCTATGTTATTTGTCCATGGACGCTGATTTGACAGAGTAATAAGTTTCTTAGCAAACTCTTGGGTTCATCGGCGAGCATGCAAGTGGAACACTTGAGGTCGTTAAAGTAAATTAAGTTTGTAAAGCTTAAGTTTCGAGCGTAAGCCAAAACAACAACAACAACAAACAACAAACAACAAGCAACAAATAACAACAACAACAACGGCAACAACGATCTTAAGGCCTCGTCCATACTACGCTGGGGGAATTTGAAAACACAGCCTTATTTCTACGGTTAAGCCTACTGTCCACATAGCCTGCATAGCTTGGCGGCTTTAAGCAATTTGAGTGCGCTAAGAAAGCGGCGAAGCCGCCGCGGTAACGAGCGCCAAAGAGCGGCGAAGCTGCGAGGAGCCTGGGAGAGAGCTCAAATTACTTAAACCGCCAAGCTACGCAGGCTGCCGTCCACACCAATCCGTCACGAAAATGGGACTTTTCGAAAACGCTCTTCAAACCGGAGGAATTTGAAAACGCCGGCTTTGCGTTTCGAAAACGGAGCTTTTGGAAAACGATGGCGTCACGATGATCATGTGATTTCTTTACCCGAGTTTTCCTCAAACACAAATCCCTAATGACCGGTGATTGCTGCGTTTTTCATTTCCTCCGGGGTAGTGTGGACGGGAAGCATTTGATGCGTTTTCAGAGTGAAACCTCGGTTTTCAAATTCCTCCGGCGAAGTGCACGGGGCCTAATTTCTGCTCTTTTTGATTTAGACATAGCAATTTTTTTTCTTGGACAATTCCGCGATTTGCCCTTCGTTGTTATTTCTTTTTCGTAATATTTTGCACCCCTTACCAATGCAGCAATTGCCCGCTGTATGTTTTCCCAACTGACGTTGAAAATAAATCATGGTGTAATCATTATTACTTCAATCCGTGCATTCACCGCTCGTCCGCATAAAACCAGCTCAAAAATTCTGGAGTTGAAGTGTTTATCGTCATCTTACGCTAGGTCCTTGGTCCGCCTTCCGAGAGTGGTTCCCAGGCAACGCCGGCTATGGCAAGCTGCGGATAGTGAACTCGACCCATATCTACTGGGAACAAATCAAAACTTACGATGGTTCAGTGACGGACAGTGTTTGGATTTCACAGGAACACCATGGACCGTTTAAACCTCTGGATGTGGAATATTAAACGGCGAGAGCCTGAGAGACTCTAAAACGCTATGGCCCGTGATCTTAACAATTAAAAAAATTCGTCTTTTTTTTTTCTTTATTGAAATATATTTGATCATTACAACAGCATCATAATGTATTAATTAAAATGTCTCTTAGTGCTGAACAGCTTGTGATGAACATTGAAATTCTGCCCACTAGTTTTCATGCATTTTTGAATTTTCTCTCGGGAGAAATTCATTTCCAGTCAGATTCTGTATTCTTCTTAGCTATCTACCCGAAAAAATGTTTAGAGAAGATAGCATTTAACTACCATCACTCTCGAAAGTCTGCAAGGTCTACTAGAAAAGTTGATAAATTTGCGTATTTCTTAGCTTATAGGCCTGCTTAAAGGAAGTGTTTGTGAATGTTTTGCGTATCTGTATCCTTGCTTCGCATCTTCGCCGATTTGTACAGAAATGAGGGAAGTTATGTTATAGGCGAGGAATTTCGGGTACAAGTTACATCGATAAAACTCGTGGCGAAAATCATACAGTAACAAAATTACCACACTTCAATTTTTCTCCACTAATTATTAGTGTAATAAACATGATCACAAGTGAATTGTCTCTATTTTTTCATAACACGATTTACGACGTAATTCAAAGTATGAATTAAGAACAGAACAGGTTGAACTATTTCAATTTGGACTTCCTGTCGTAGCTGTATTTTTGCTTTTTGTAGTAATGATAGATAGTGGACCTAGAAGTAGTGTACAAGCGCTATTGTAATGTAGCATTAAGTATTAATTCAAAATGTTATGCACTTTTTTTCACAAATGCGTTTTTGACAAAAAATAAATTAACACCAGCTTTTCTACTGAGTTGTTTCGTCACTTTGTTACTGAGTTTTTTTTAGTAATTTTTTATGATCTTTTTAGATCTTTCTATAATCTCTTTCGAGATCTCAAAATATTAGTTGACGTTTTTGAACGAAGTTAAGAGAATTTAGCAAGGTAATTTCGGTTTATCTGTCAAATGAATGGTAAATATTACTTATACACAAAAACGTGTACGTTTAGGGGATTCAAGAACTGAGAATTAACCTTTGTAGTCCATTGGAAGTACTTGTAATCTTTCTTTTTTTTGCGGTTAATGAAGAAACTTAAAGACTGGCCTAACCCTGGAAATGTACAATGATGTTCGAGTAAAACAAGCGATTGCTGCGTTGGCGGTGTCCTCGACAGTTGTGGCGTGGAGCCTTCATATACAAATAATAAGTCTACTGTTAGATTAACTGGCTGAATGTTATTTTACCACCTGGACTGCACAACTTTCCGTGCGATCTCTATTTAACGCAGGCCTTGTTTGTCCTTGCGACGGAAAACAGCGTTTTTTTATTTGATTAGACGCACAGTAAAACGAGCTTTAATAACTTTTTTAGCAATGTGTGTTTGCTTAAGTTGGTCCGAAGGCGACCTATTGTTCTCGTTTATTAAAGCTGTCAGAGTGTGCGATATGTAATTTATCTGCAAGTAAACCTATTCAGCGCGTTTTTGTTATGCGTTAAGTTCAAACAACGCGCTATTGTGACAAAGCTTGCGATTCAAAGGACCTCGTACGCGGTAACTGTACTCACAGTTGTTCTCGAAAGTAATTATCTAGGGCTCTTTGTTCACTTGTAAAGTGAGACGCGTATTGCTATTAAATAATAAGAATCTCTTCGCGTGCGACGGCTGCCTGTATTAAAACCATGTTTACCAAACTCCGCGCGCTTTCTGTCATAAGGAAATTATTTTTGATTTATCTGCAACGAAAACTGCTTATTAAAATTTACTCGTCTTTCTATCTCTTCGTAAAGAAACGCTAAGATTTTATCTTCAACGGAAGGTGTAATAACAAATGTTGGCGTGAGCGTTCGTGAAGGTAATCTTCAGCCGAAAATTCTGTGCTAATGAAGTGTCGTTAACGCGACAGATAACGAGCTGTTAAATATTGCAGTTTCTTCAACGTTTATGCCAACACCTAATTAAACAGTCGCGAATCGAGTTAATTAAAAGGAAGTATGAAGTGATAAGAGTTACGCCAAGCGCAGGTCTTATAAGCTTAGCAGTGATAAAATTATTTTAACTATCTGAGAGAGATTGCAATGTTTCCTTTATCAGCCCGGTGCTTGCAGTTCACTGCTGATTAGCAAAAAACAACAAAATTAAAGGTGTCTTGTGTCCTTTATGAAAAGTTCAAGATAGACAAAGAAAGTACAACTTTTCTTTCGTGCTCTCGTACTTCGCTTTGTCTCCGAAGGCATTGTCCAAGCTGTTACATTTTTGAAAACAGATATTTCGCTCTAAGAGAATGAAGTGTTGTTATTGAGGCATTACCCAGTTTGGCCAGCTAAAGAACAACATTTGCACGGTTAGGCGAAAACCTTGTTCGTGATAAAGAAATGAAATCGAAATGGAGGTTGTTTGATCACAATAACACGACTTGAGCCGCCGTCATTATCGAGCGAAACTTCTAGTATCAAAAGAAAATTGTTTGAAACACACCGTGTGCAACCACATGGCTAATAAAAATAACAATACGTCCCAACATGCTCTCACTACAATGCGCTGTTTTCACATGTTGTAAGGTATTGTTTACGCTTTTCTTTGCGGTAACCGGTATTGTCAAGCTGCCTTTTGTTACAACTCCCCCATGATCCGCTAGTTTCTTTTTTATTCTGCGTTTACACCGTATTGTTACAACAAAACACGAAAAGCAAGGAAACTTAATATACATTCGAAATAATTTCTCTATGGCGCGCGCTTTAACGTTCATGACTTCATTCGATTTATTTTCGTCCCTCGATCAATGCGTGAGATCAATTGCTTTATGGCTGGTAAAACAAGCCAAATAAATAAGTTTCCGCCATGGAGTCATGAGCTAGGTGGGAGTTCTTGAACGCCCACGTTTCAAAACAAGAATGTTTTCAGTTCTGCGGTGATTAAAAAACTTGCGCAGGGTCAAAATATTTTTGCTTGCTTGTTGATAACGCCAACAAAGTAAAGATTTGGGGGCTTAACTGTTTCCAGTGACTAAAAATTAAATTCCCTGATGCGGGCGGACAAAATTTAAACTTGAACAATTTTGTGTTACCTATAAGCCGAAACGTCTTCTTGGGACTAGAGAGAGTTGTTCTTGTAGAGTCCAAAGGTTTGCATGGTAAAAAAAGTAGTTTTGTTGTTATTGTTGATAAAGTGCATAGCAATTGAGATCTTCGCACTTTTTTTCAGTCAAGTATGAACAATACTATATTGTGATGATCCTCAGGCGTAAAGGGGTAAGCTGGGGTATTTCGATAAACAAAAACTACTTTGGAGTTAATTTGCTGGAACCTGGTTAAAACTCTAACTAAACCACCAAACGAAACGATAAGACAAAAAAAGTTCGAACCTAAAACATTCCAATTCGAGACACATTTTAAAATTTAACGCGTGCTCTCCGTTTGCATAATTCTGTAGTATTTTTTACTACTTTGAATTCGAACAAGAAATATTAAATGCAGTGAAATTTGCTTTTGACGGTGTTGAGTTTGAACAACTGTATAAAGTGCGACGTCATTGATTAACTGTCTCGCATGATTCTAGAATGATTTTTAACGCCTTCTCGAAGAGACGAAATGAATCTAAAATGAGAAGACCCGAGGCAATAGTTTCCATTTAAATGATTTTCACTTGGAGTTAAAGAGATCGCTGATCCTTTGGAAGCCTTTCCCCCCCTCGTTCATGCAGTTTATTTAAAATAAGTAGTACAATACCAACAATGTATACATCACGCTTTTATTTATTTTCATATTACACAGATAAGAATTATACATACTTCTTTTCAAATATCAGCGTATTTCTGTTATGTAATAATTTGTTAGGTATTGAACAGAAAAAAATGAAACTTATACAAAAGGTTTTCCTATACAAACTTGAAATTTTACATCCTTGTCCAACAGTTTGTACCTAATAATATATAGGCTGTCCGAGTATTAGTACTATATATTTTCATTTCCCTAACAAAAGGCTGTAATTTTCCTCAAGGGATTGTCTTGAAATGACATATTTGTGGCACGTTTCTTTCTAAATAATAATCAAAAAAACGTTTATTCTTAGTTCAGTTTAGTCTGATTCTGGCAGATTTCAGACAAGAATTAGTACAAAACTTAGTATAAGGCAAAAAAAAACTGATCATGTTGATATACATTAGTAGTCGAATGTCGAATATAGAACTAAGCGAAATTAATATGGGCGGGAAAACGCAGTTTACTCTTCATGGCAATCTGCAATGAAGAGAGGAAAAACTTTTAATTTGTCCGTCGTTAACGAACTTTACCTACATATTTTTACAGTACTTTTAAATACCGCGTATAGAAAAGAAAAGAAAGAGAACTGAAACAGCCTGTAGCTAACACAAGCATAAGATATCTTTCGAGAAATAAACTATGTTAATTGCTCGGAAGTCGATGTTTTCTTCGAGAGAATTATGCTGGCTTTTCGACTAGTTCATCTTTTTCCCAAAGCTTTAATTCATTTTAAAGTTGTAAATTTTCGCGGTCACTATGTAAGTTATGTACAAGGTTGAGGTCTCTATTCGATCTCCGGTCAACAACACCTCAAAGAGCTCATTAATTTGTAAAGAGAATTTAGCAGAGTCAAGGCGACCCAATAAATCACTTTCAGTTTATACTGGGCTCTCTTGCACTGCATAACATGTGCCTTTGGTTAACTCGATAATCCTTCCTGTCAGAGTTACGGTCGTATTGATTCATCGCCAACCTCTAGTTTCGTTTTCTTCCTGCCTATCGAGGCTGGCATGCGAATCAATCGACAACTGAAGCATAAATTAAATTGTCTTGCTCTGCCATGCGTTTGGCATGTGGGTTCGAATCTTTATAATTTACAATTTGACAAAACCTAAAGCGAGTATGGCAAGAAAGTGAAAGTGAACTCTACTCGCTTGTTGCTAACTTAAGTATCTGAACACAAAAAACTTTGTAACCTTCCTAGGTTCTCGATCTTGATGAAATTAACTTAATGGAAGCTAGCTTACTAGCAAACGACATAGAAGCGTTTGATCACACCGCGGTTATAAATATGCAAAAAGTGAAAAAAGAAATAAATATTTCAGGTGATCTTTCGCTTGTTTCGTACCCCGAGCGCGGGCTTGTACGTTGGGGAAAGAGGCGACGAACTTTATGTAAACACAAATATCTACTCATTGATCACACTGAAAGAAAGTTGCACTGAGATATTTAGAAATTGTTTTGTTCTTCGTCTTGACGTGGCCACTTGTTTTATCGCATTAAGTGAATTACAATCTTTGCATAACAATGAACTAAACAGAATGTTAGTTTGAGGCCCGAGATTAGAGTATTGTTCGAATATACAAGACGATGCAGTGGTGTCAACCTACACCCGGACCATCGACTCTATCATCACTGGCTCGCTCTGTAACTCTTTTCGAGAAAAAAAGGATTTGAGAATTGTGTTCTCGTTTCTTCGCAACATACGTATGCAGCCGTTAATGTGCATATATTAAACGAAAAAAAATTAGAATGGCGTTTTCGATTTCGCTTGAGCGATTTTAGAGCTTTCAGCCCGAGCTGCAACCTAAACCGTTACAGCAAATTGAGTGTTTGTAGCGAGGTTTATGTTGTTACTCTATATTAAGCGAGTTATTGTACCGTTTGTCAGAAAAACGTCATTATTCATTGTAAACTCGAAATTGTTCCTCATTAAACCGCATTTATCACAAGCCCGCGTTCTTTGTACGAAACGGAAATTTGCTGCTAGGAATAATGCGAACTTCAACTAGCATAAACTGTAAAGGCGTTTAAAAGACACATTATCACATGGTCCTAATGTACTCGTTGGCGCTAATAAACTTTACACCAACGTAAGAGGAAAAGAACTAACGAAAACATTCGAACAAATGTGATTTTCGCTCGCGATGAGAAAAATTCACTGAATAAAACTTGTTGCGTATGTTGACATGCCGTTTCATGGAGTCATTCGCATGATCAAGTCTCCAATTTTATACTACCACTCTATCGCTAACCCTTAAATTAAAAGGTGTGGCACAAATACATAAGAAATTTAAAGCAATACCGGGACGTAGGCAACTGGCCGGGACAAGTCCTGCTGGGGTTGCCAAACACGTTGTCCGTTCATTTCGGCCGTTGAAACTGTGTAGCCAGTTGACTTGGTCGGCGCGTCACTGCTTGAAGCAGTTGGACTCGATGATGAACCACTGCTGATAGATGCGCCGCGTGTTTCGTCGACAGTGGAAATTCTCTGCTGCATTTGGGAAGGAAGTGCCGATTGGAAAGCCTGGCTGGTGTAGAGCGCTCGGTTATGGCTCATGACATCCGCGGCACGGAATGAATGCGTCGTGTCCAAGGAACTAGCGAATAGCTGGCGCGACGGTGGAGTGACTGAGTGATGACTGTTAACTGCGGTTACGTTGGGATAAATCACTGGATACCCCGGAGAAACGGAGTGATGAAACGCTGCTGCTCCGTTTATTTTGGAATACATTGGGTCCGCGGACAAAGCCGTTGAATGAGCTATTGTTTGAGGCAATTGATTCGTTGAGAATTTATCAACCGCCATCATTGGGGCGCTGTATGGTGAAAACATCGGGGACGGCAGCTCTTTCTTTTGCAGTGATTTTGGTTTGCGTCTCTTCGGCTTGTACTTATAGTCGGGATGTTCTTGGATGTGGATTGCCTGCAGTCGTTTCGCCTCGGCCACGAACGGCTCCTTCTCCTCTTGCGAGAGCATTTTCCACTCGGCTCCGAGTCGCTTGCTGATTTCGGAGTTATGCATTCGCGGGTTTATCGCAGAGTACTGCTTTCTCTTACCGCGACTCCACACCATAAACGCGTTCATGGGTCTCTTAATGTGTCCTTCATCTTGCTTACCCATGTTCTCTATGGTCCTCTTGGTTGTTAATCGGAATAAAGCGGTTGTCTTGACAGTCGGTGGCGGAGAGCTGTGTTGTTCACGCGAGGCTGAGTTCGGTCAAACTGGTCTCAAAGGAGCAACCTCTTTCTGTTATTTGCCTGGTTGACCGGCTCAACAGCTACAACACCTCGCAGGCGTGATTATGGCTGATGGATATAATGACATAATAGGACAATGCTAATATTTCATTTCAATAATAATACAAGAAGTAAACAATAGGTGTTAATTATTTGCGCATGAATTATGTATATTTCCGCTCTGGGCCAATCATGACGCGGGAAGGTTCGGCGGCAATTCTTGTGCCATAACTCTGAAACACGTGCGCTAAAGCGACATGGCTTTCGGTTGGCAGCCGAGAGATGATATTTGGAGAGCCGCATGAGTGTGGTCCAAGTGGGAATACTTAGCGCTGGATTAAACCGCAATGATCTCGGAGTTATTGCAAGTTTTCGGTTCTATTTGCTTTCTCATTCAAACATTATTCTAATGATAGCGCTGCGACACCTGCGCGAGACTCGCAGGTGCGCTTTTCAAACTATTTCAATATAGTAATGTTTTCCGCTCAATGCCTTCACCACATCTGCGGCATTCGCTATTGTTCGCTGTGCACGTGTTTCATTAAGGGCTTACCTTGCCTTTCTGTGCGTCATTGTCGCTTTTTTAAAGAGATTTACAAACTTTTCAGCTTTTCTCTATTTAATGGACTCCAAGCAGCGATTTACATAATGGAAGCAGTATTGTGCGATCCGTCTCGCGAATAATCATAGCGAACTTCGCTTCTTCGAGGTCAATTGGTTTTTATTGAACGACACAATAAACGAAAAGAGAAAGAGCTTTTCAAACTGTGGCCTAGGGGTCTTGGTGTATTGTGCTGTGGATCAAAAAACTAAGAGGGCAAAACACCGTTGAATTCAGCGTTGATTTTGCGTGCATGGGTGAGTTTTGAAGTGCAAGCGCTCTCGATACTCGGTGATTGCATTAACTCCGAGAGAACACTGACAAATTAGATTCAATCTGCTGATAGACTTTCATATTTGCAGAGTCATTAAGAACTTGGGTTACAGTCGATTTGCACCGCTAGATAAATATTTCCGAATTGAGAATTGGCAAATTTTATTGTGGTCATTGTGCGCTCTATTGTCTAAGCCGAAACTCTAAACATGTACTTTTCTTTAGCGTGTGTGCGACGGGAATATTAACAGAAAGCACTTTTGAAATTTTATTCGGTTTGTTGTTGTTTTTTTTTTCAATTTTGTTTGTTTTTTACTCCAGCGAGACTCCTACAATGTGGTCGCTTATTATTCTTTGTTTGGGGCATTTCCGTAGGATTGCAGCAGTTTTCAATCATCTTGAGAACTCTAGTGCGAAACTGTGGGAGTTTGCGTTATTATGGCCCGAGATATTGAATTGTGTTTGGAGAGTCGCTTTAGTCATCGTTTGTGTTTGTTCGGGTTGATTTCCTCTCTGTTTACACTGCTAATCAAGGGACAAAAACTGGCTTTAATTATGTTATTTGCCGCGAACGACAGCTTCAATTGTAGTTGTCACAAGAATGTAAGGAAAGGGAATTTCGCTGCAAACTATTTCCAATTAGACAAAGTTGAAAATTTAGCTCTCCCCCGCTGTTAGTTTACCACGAAAGGACGAAAGGCAGAAAATGAATACAGCACAAAAGAAATAAAGCTTACAAAAACATCGGTCTTTGTTCTATTTTTTATCTTTTCTTTCGAATGAATTATCGACGGCAGCAACTGTCGCTTGGAATAGCTTGCAGGAAGAAACTTTGCCCATCCGTGAAATATCTTTGATAATTAGAAAGCAAATAACTGATAGTGCTTTTCAGGAAAAAAAAAAAAGCCAAATGAATGTGGGTTAACATTTTCTAAACGCGCAACTTTTAATTGGCAAAGTTGTTTTCGCTCGGGGCTGATGTTACTCGCTCGTTCGTAAATTAACGTCCTTCGCAGAAATTTCGTTTATTGCTGTAATCCCAGCGTATCGTTATGATACGTTTCCCTGGATGTGTAAATAAACCTTAACCGGCAAATTAAACCAGCTAGTGAGACAAAGATCAATGTAAGGCGATCTCTTGAGAAAAATAAACATACTGTTGAAATATCGCTTGAGGCAGCTCAAGAGAGTAGTTAAAATTACTTTGCACCTGTCCTCGTCTCGAGAAAAACCATTTAGATCTTAAAAGGAATTTTCAAGTTCAAGATCTTCAACGCGATATTACTTAGCGAGTCAGACAAAATTTGGAGAAATAGTCTTTTTTTTATCTGGAAAAAGTGTTCACTTTAGAGTTGTCTTTTTGTTTGTCGGGAAAAAAACAGTTTACGTAAATTGGGTTATCACCTAAGCGTACCGCTAAAGCACTTTTCTTTTAACTTAACTGAGATCTAAAAAAACACAGTAAAACAATCTTTATTTCTTACGCGATAACTGCGAGAGAAAAGAAACTAAGATAACATTTAGCAGCGAATTTACACTCGCACTTTGTCCAACTACTAAACCAATTTATGACTGCAAAAAATTTCGAGCAATCTTTAAAAATTATCACCTATTCGCTTAGCGGGAGTCTAGAATTTCTCGTGACCGTGTAGCTGCCCCGTTGCGGCGAAATTCCCCCCGTCTGAAACAAACCTTTCTTTAATTTTCAAAACAACGCACAATGAAAAGCCGTTGAAATGGCTATAGAGAAAAGGGCAGAAAATAAATGTTTACCCTCCATAGAATAGCAGAATACAACGATTTGTTCGCTAATACGACCATAGTTTCGGCAATTTGCATTTCTAGCAAGTGAAATTTGCCGTCCGTACAAAAGAGATGCTAATAAGGGATGTGAAAAACAGTAGGTACAGATCGTGGTTTTCAAACTAAATTGGTAGACTGGTTTGAATTGAATGGCTAAAAATTACTCGTGTGGAATCAGCTAGTCATCGAAGTAGAAATCGCGGCGGGCTTGTCGAGTGTTTCGATGAAAGCGAGAAGTAAAAGCACTGCTTTATAAAACCAAGATCGACAAGATAGAGTGGAAAATGATTTATATCAAGTAAGTTGGAGGGCGTTAGAAACATTCGCAATTACGGAAAGATGGATATTTAGAATCAGTTTCCCTTTAACTTTGAAATGTCTTTTTTTTTTGCGTGCAAAATGAAGAAATGTACCACGCATTTGCAACGAGCCGACACCTGTTCCGATCTAAAAAAAAATAACGAAATTTTGTGGGCCATTGGGATTGAAAATCTTTCCAATTTTGATCGTATCTACTATAGAATGTTTTATTTTCTCGTTGAAACTTACCTCAGAAGAATGCACTATCTGTTGGACAAATGGGAAAATCGAAATCTCTTGTCGAATTTGAAAACGGATTTTGCGAAGACAGCAGCGGTCAATTTTGGTAGCGAATGAACAACAGAAACATAGTCTACGTTTTAAAAAAACATAAATGTATTGGTTCCCGAGAAAAGATTATCTAAAATTTCATCTCATTTGACGTTAGGCTTGCATTTTAACAATGTAATTGCTGATTTTTATCGTAGATACGTCTCTCAGTAATGTATTTCATTTTTTTGATCACTGAAAGGCAAGGCGGTTATGTTGTCGATTAGTAATTCGCGCTATAAAATTATTTGCGGTACTAAAATGTAACGTTAGGACAAAGTATCCTTTCTTAATTTCACAAGTAAACTATCTTTTAACCCTCGCGAAATTTCTTCAGTGTTGGGGTTTTTGTAAGAAGCCCCATTCGAAGTGAACGAAATTATTCGGAGAATGCTATCCCGCTGGGAAATGTCTAAAAATACGATTAAATTCATATCGTTACCAAGCACTTGTTTGTTAAAAGGTGCGGGGAGTTTAAAAAATGATTCTACGCAACTCTACCTCTCTTTCCCGGTCTGTTAATTTTTGTCTTTGACGTACGATATTTTTCTCTTGGACATCTAAGATAACGTTTTACCTGTATACCTTGATTAATTGAGACTTGCTTGTTTTAAACTCCAGCGGCCGCTATTCGGAATTTTGCTCTCCATGTATTAGTGTGATTATAACTTCAAGCCGAACCGCCTAGAGCCAAAAAAAGTTTCTTCCTTAAATTATTCAGCTGACCCGCTCTTCGGTGTTGTTATGGTTTAAGGGCCTTGAGCTTCGAAAAAAAGGGAAAGCACTTGCGGATTGTTATGACTCTTGGGGTTGGATTTTAATTACTAGCTGTGTGCTCTCTCCGCCTTCCACTTAGTGAGCTGTGGTTAATATTTGTTTTATCGGTTTTAGATATCCATTGCCGTACAATCACAAAACTGTTAATTTGTATCCTGTTTATTTTATTTCCTGGTTTTAAGCTGATGTTGTTTTTAGAGGTAAACCCAGCCTGGTTGAGAAATATTTTTCCATGTCATGCTAAACCATTTAGTCTTGGCTTTGCCGCGCACACGAAATTTCACTAGTAAATTACTTTTTCAGTCGGCAATTGGTCTGTCGGATTTGTTTCTGATTTCAAGTACTTCAAGTGTCGTAGGAAAAAGTACAGCTTAATCAAAATGTTTTCCGCTGTTTGGGCAGTGGACAGGTAAATTAAACTGTCAATTATAGTATCCAAACATTTGCGCGTTTATTCTGTTTTTCCCAGCGGCTATGAGTTCAGAATTTTCATAGGTTCTTTGTGACGAAAAGAAATACACTTTTTCCTCTGACAAATTTTGCTGGCGGCGAATTCAAAGGTTAAAAATTTAAGCTCTCTTTTTCTCATTAGTGGGCTGAATGTAGAAAGCTCTAAAAGTCGTCCTAAAATATTACTACTGGGGTTTAAAAGAGTTTAACATAATGGCTTAGAAAATATAATGGAGTTCGGAAAACTATTTGTAGTTACTTTGATCTTTTTTCAGAAAAAACTGAAGCACAGAAATTTTGAAACAAAAAACTGAATTGTCTCTCATTTTTTTTTCTGCGTGGCAATTGCGTCTCCTTCTTGTGTGATTTTGAGCAGTTTTTGGTACCAGAATCAATTTTCCAACTGCCGAGAAATCGAATAGTGTTCAAACTGACGAAAGCAACGAAATATTCGTGCAGCGAAAAAGAACGCGCTGGCTATAAAAGTACTTTGGCTCAGCGAAGAGTTCAAATGCGTTTTTTGATTAAAACAACCTTTAAAGTGAGAATAAACACAAAAAGACAATGGAGGCTCTTATTCATGAGAAAAAGAAAACTGCTTACATGATTGCCATGCACTTTAAGGAGTAATTAACGATACAGCGTTTGGACTAATAATTTACAGATTTATGTATTTGTGGGTATATTTTTCAGTCAGTTCCCCAATAAAATGCTGGAACTCTACCTTCAAACTCTAAGTGAGAAGAGGAATAGACAGAAAACCTTTTTTTGAACGGTTTTGAAGGTACATTGTAAAGACAGATTGAGTGAATGCAACGAACTTAGCATGAGAAAATCAAGCAGCTATGTTTCATTTACTTTCTTAGGATTCGGTGGAAGGTTGCTTTAGAAGTATGGTCGCCAAAAAATCAGACTTAATTTAGATGAGTTCTTTTCGTGTGTTGGATTTCCCTCGCGGAAAAGCTTTATTACCTTAACAACGCGTGTCAATTTGAGTTCGTCCATTATATCTGTGGTCTATTTCAAGAGGCACTTTGTGTGCGGTAGCTATTAAGCCGGTGATTACCACTTTTGTTTTTAGTTTTAGACGAAAGAGGAAGAAACACACAGACTACTATATATCACTGTTTTTGCCTGGAGCGGAGAAAAGAAAATTGAAACCGAAACTTGTCCTTGTGAGATTTTTCTTAGTGTGGCGGTCGACGAAACATTCTTGACTTATCATGCACGAGAATCACCAAAAAGCGAAATTGGATTCCGGTTTACGTTTTTTCTTAAGATCTATTCAAATCGGAAATTATTTGCATATAATGTAAAGAACTCTCGGAATAAGGTGTTTTACAGCTCTTGTTCGTGGAAACACAACCAACTGTTCTTAGGCAAAAATAGTTTTATTCGAGAAATGTCAATGTGTTGTTTTCGCTCGTTTTCAACAACGTTTATGGCAAATAAAACCCCAATAAATTGCTTCTTTTTGTAAGTTTTGTCAATAGCCGGCTGAAAGTAGCGATTTTGAAAATGAAAATTATATCTGAGAAGATAAACTTCTTCAAAATAGTCTTCATTTATTTTTTTTATTTTTTTTATTTTACGTTTCCAGCTGTGATTTTCCAGGGTTTCAGTGCGTGCTAACAGCTTTCTTTACGCGTGTGTCATTTGTAAAAGTTAAAACAGCCAATTTCCGTCTTTTTTGCTTCAAAACTGATCAAGTTCTCTTTTTTACTATATCCAACAGTGGCAACGAGGAAATTGCAACCAAACAAAAACTCACACGAAACGGCAGAAGAAAATGTGAAACAAAGAGAATTGCACGCCATTTCAATAGCTACCAGTTTTGTCTTGTCCACGAAATCTCCGGTGCAAAGATTAAGCCCGTTTCGAAGAGACGAAGAGCTTTGTAACTCTGAAAAGATATAGAGAATAAACTTTTGAATAGATTCCATGGCTTTTTTCAGGGGAGGAAAAATTATCAAAGTAAACAATGAGTCAGTAATTTTCCTGCTTTCAGCCTGTTAAATTTCCACAGTGTTTAGGGTTCATTTAAGGTTTCCGATGGAAAATAATCCCAAAAAATTTGCATCAGAAACAGAGTGTGCATAATACTGACCGTATAATATTCATTTTGAACAAACATTTACAGGAATTTTGGTTTTTTAAAAATCTCGCGCCATTCTTATATTCTCTTTGGGCCATAAGATAGTCATTTCAAGCAAATTACTGAATGGCTAAACTGCTATCTGCCAATTAAAATATCTTTCTTATTGATATATACATTTAGGTATAAACTACGGTAATCAGTCTAGGACGGTAGTTAAAAATTTTGTTGTCGATAAACTAATTTCACTCATGGCGTATGAAATAACCAGTGTGCTGAGAGAAAACAGAAAGTGAAAACCATGTTGTTCGTTGTGACGTATGTCATCTTCCTACCACAAATTCACTTATGGAATCGAAACAAGTCAAAATTCAAATTAACTGGTACCACTAAGGCAGTTAAATTGAAAGGATTAGAGTACAAAATAAGACACTGAGTACAAAATAACTAAAAATAAATTTGTAACTTGTACATGCGTTGCACAAGAATTAGAACTGTATGCGGCGCCATTTTACTTAAAGGTTATTTTCACGGTGGGAAATAAATTTCGTGCTCAGCATTTGAAGGGAACTTGGTTTATCCGCAGCCGGAATTACTACCCTTTGTTTTCTGAGTTTTATGCGCGCCAAAGATTTTGTACATTTGCTTTTCAGTTTGAAAT